TCTACCCAGGGGGACAGCTTGAGGCTCTGTCTCAAAAAAAAAAAAAAAAAAAAAATAGTCAGCTGGGCCTCAGGTGCCAGCCATGTAACCTCCTTGGCTGATTCAAGAAGACTAGTAATATATGGAAAACCAGGAGCCTAAATTTGGGGGGAATAAAAAGGGCTATGAGAAGAGAAAATCCAGTGGAGGTCCGGGGGCCACGGGAGCCCTTGAACTTGGCCTTACATTCAGTCTGCTCTTCTGCCCAACCCACTGGTGTGATTTCCCCTTCTCTTTCTCTCTTTCAGGAGCTCTGCTTTCCATGGGGTTTGGATTTGTGGAATATAGGAAGCCTGAGCAAGCCCAGAAAGCTCTGAAGCAGCCCCAGGTAAAGTGGGGTTTCCCAGCAGAGGCCCACAGAGGCACTCAGCAGGTGGTGGGCGGCCCATCAGCGCTCTGAAATTGAGCAGGAATGGGTACTGTGTCCATGTTCTTGTGGGTATATGGCTTTTGCCAGTTCTCCTGGAGACTGTGGTCAAGAAGAGCCTTTCTGAACACTTCGTGGTCATCATAGTTCATTCAGTCACTGCACAGCACTGTTATTGGGGACCTGGTTTGTGCCAGGCACTGTGTTAGGTCTGAGAGAGATTTGCTTATGTGGGCCTTTGTTTCTGGCAGGGAAGACAGGCAATAGGCTGTTGAATAAATACGCAAGACCAAGTCACGATAAAGTACTTGGCAATAACAGAGATGGGGGGGGGGGCAGGGAAGGCCTCTGAGGAGGTGACTGACAGTCAAGAGGGTATCTAATTGATAAGTCAGCTGCATAGAGACCTGTGAAGAGTATAGTTGAAGCGGGAACAGCATGTGCAAAGGGCCTGAGGCAGGGCCTCCAAGGAGGAAATGAGCTTAATATGTTTGAGAAACAAAAAGAGACCCCTGTGGCAGGGGCAGAGCAGGGGCAGAAGATCAGAGCATAGGATGAGAGATAGTGTGTGTAAGGCAGAATCTTGCAGGCCATTTTAAGGACTTGTAGAGAAGTCAGCCTTGGGGTGATGAGAGACCATCAGTGAGCTGTAAGTGTGTGAAAAATCTGGCTTCTGCTTTAAAACAGTCTCCCCAGCCACTGAGGTCCCCAGCCTCAGACAGCTTCTCTGTCTCTGAAAGGACAGAGAAGAGCCCTCTTCCAGGCTTGGCCAGCATAGAGGTAGGATGGCCAAAAAGGGGGCCACATGGAGAGGTGCTTGGGCATAGAGTCAACCTCCTGCTCAGATAGAACAGGGAGAAATGGCCTGCTAGGCCCTAAGAACCAGGGACAGATTGGGAGGAGAGGAGCTGGGAACACAGAGAACAAACCAGCCTGAGATTTGCACCAGGCCTCAGGAAGGTTTCCCTTCATTAATGCCACACGTCTCTGGCCCTTCTGGATCAGGGGCTATCTATTCATTTAACTTAAATTCAGCCCTACAAATGCAATGGTCCATCTTTCTCCCTCACTGAATTAAAAATTCTATAAAATTCTACTTTGCACATATACATATACTCTATCATATAGACATGCGTATGTGAATATTGCCTCAAAGAATTGTTCATACAAAGCTATGTGGGCTGTATTTTATGGAGATTCAAGGGATTTTCAAGGGTAACTTTGCTAATGTGCCAGTTTTGCCTTAAGGGACTTGTGGTAGTAGCTTTCATGCAACTCTTGTGATTTAGAATTGTTTTAAAGAACACACAAACCAAACCAAACCCTAACTGTAAGCCACACCTGACGGACTTACTTTGCAAATGCTTATAATCAATGGAAAATCCTGCACCCCTTGAATGGCATAAAGCTCAAGGCCTACTCATAGCTCAAGCAAGAGTTCAAGGGCTGGGTCTGTGTGACCATCAGCTGTTGTCTGGGCTCAACATGGCCTGTTTCAGGGAAAAGCCAGCCTCTGTCCTCAGTTCCAGCCAATTCCTCTGCTGGGGGGACCATGTGGCCAAGGATATAGCTGTTTCCAAGCTGTGTTGTCTTTTCTCCTAGGGTCTTGTCGTGGACAACCACAAGCTGGAAGTGAGGATCTCGGAACGTGCCACCAAGTGAGTCCTTGCTGTTCCCCGGTTTCCTTGTTGGGAGTTGGTGCTTTCTGTTCTGGGTGCCAGCAGCCCTGGAGGGGTGGCTCACAGCCCCTACATGTCCTTTCTGCCCAGCGCCCTCACCATTTAGGACTCTACCTGATTAAGGTTGGCATTTGCCAACTCTGACCCTGTTTCCCCGCTGAGCGGAAACAGCTCTAGTCCTTTAGGTGAATGTTTAATACGCTTTTTGAATAAGTGCAGGAGAAACAAGCAGGTAGCACTCACCATAGTGGTATAAATAAGCCAAGGAAGACTCTCAAGTTGCTGATGCTCTGACCGAACCAGAAGAAACTATAAACCTCAGTATTCTTAGAGCTGGAGGGCATTGCCCAGAGACGGCCTTCAGTTAATTTAAAAGATATTCAGTAGGTGGCAGAGATGGAGGCGAGCCAACTTAACCAGTAATCAGTGTACGGAAGTGATTGGGGGGTGGGGTGGGGGTTGGTTTTGCTCCTTCATTTCTACCTGCTTTTGCATCTAAGTGAACTTCCTGCAGTGCCCTGCATGTAACAGGTGCTCAGGGTAAGCCATTATTGTCATTATCATCCACTTGCCTCCGGTGATAAAGGACCGTGCTAATAGCCCTAGAGCTGGTTTAAGATACTTTTTTGGTAGTTTTCAACAGGTTGGTCATTCATTGTGCTCATTCAGCAGATTAGCTGCCTGGGACGTGGCCTTTCTTCTTCCTTCTCTGTTAATGCTACTTTTGAATCCAGCTTAGACTGTTTCTGATAGTTTCCACCAAATGTGATATGTGCTACGTTGGGCAAAATCAGTGAGAAAACGTGGTACAGGGACTCCTGGAAGACTAATGGGGTTCTGAGCTGTCAGAGTATAAGAGGAGTAGTCCAGATTTTGAGCCCCACACCTTTAGGTTCTAACCCAAGAGTCCTGTGGCCTTGTAGGGGTGACTGTGCCTCTAAAGTAAAATGGTACATAAAGTGTGCAGCACTTGCCATCACCGTGAGCACTCAACCAGTCTTTTATCTCTAGAGTTAGCCTGAACTCAGCCTTGCAAGTTCATGGAATCATTGTCTTACTAACAAAAAATTTCAGCAAAGCCCACTGTGTACCAGACAGTCCTCCTGGGCAGTGGGAATGGCGTTTCCTTGTGGAGTTTATACTCTTTTGCATCTGTACTATCTAGGATGGTAGACATTTGCCACACATGGCTATTTAGCACTTGAAATGTGGCAAGAGCAGCTGTATTAGTTATCCATTGCTGTGTAACAAAGTATCCCCAAACTTAACAACTTAATACAAAACATTATGTCACAGTTTCTATGGGTCAGGAATTCAGGAGCAGCCTGGCTGGGGGCTCAGGGCTGGTATTATGAGATTGCACTGCGAGTGTCGTGTTGGCTGGGGCTGCAGTCATCCGAATGCTCAGCTGGTGTGGATGGATCTGCTGCTAAGATGGTGCACTCATGTGGCTGTTGGCAAGAAACCTCAGTTTGTCACCTCATGGGCCTCTTGATGGGACGACTGAGTGTCCTTACAGCATGGCCACTGGTTTTCCCCAGAGGAAGTAATCCAAGAGAGGACAAGGAGGTGGCAGTGTCTTCTGCAGCCTACTCTCAGAAGTCATACCCATCCCTTCGGCAGTACCCTACTGGCCACACAGTCCTACCCTGATGCGGTGCAGGAGAGGATTACTCGAGGCAAGAGTACCAAGAGCCAGACATTATCTGGAGGGTAACTATCCCAGCAACTGAGGAAATGAATGATCAATTTTGTTTCATTTAAATTTGAATCTAATTACCTGCATGTGGCTGGTGGCTACTGTATGGGACAGCACAGGCCCAGGCTGCTGAGACAAATGATAAGAGAAGCATGATTGACTTGGTAATATACCATCAGACCATCAGACAGCTGATGCGGGCCAGGAAGAGAAGTAAAGCTGCCGTTTTAGTGAGGTGGGGAAGGCCCTGAGCAGGTTGAAGGAAGCCTGTTAGGTAATAAGGGACAGTCATGATATAAAAGCCACCACTTATTGAGTTGATCACTTGTTGGGTATAGTGCTGAGTCCTCATTAAATCCCCAAACAAACAATCTGATAAGGTTGGTGCTATTATTATGCCCATTCTACATTTGAGGCAACTAAGGCCCAGAGAGGCCACGTAATTTGCCCAAGATCCCACATATCCCAAGTGGCCCATTTTGCATCCAGACCCAGTGTGTTAACTCCCAGCCTTGCTCACTACCCTACCCTACCCTGTTTCACTGGGGTGACACATTTCCCTGGGAGAGCAGGGGGACAGGGAAGGTGGGACTGAGTTAGGGATAGTGTTGAGCCCCCAGGCCGAGAGTGTCCTTTCCCACCACTGAGAGACCCCTGTGGGCTCCTCCTTGGGTTAGTGGTAAGGTGTCAACAGACCTCTGGCGATCAACCAGGGTCGTCCTGTGTATCTGCAGAAAAAGAACCAGCAGAGCTTGGGTTTGGTGAAAACTAGCCCCACCCTTATCAGGGTTCCTAAAGTAGTTCCTGAGTCTCTAAATGAAGGGCAGTGGCAGCCCGAGGATGTGTGTGTTCCCCAGGCATCCACAGCTATTGGGGCTCAAACCCCCCAGGGGAGACAGTCTCCCCTTTTATCTCAGCCTCCCTGTAAGATAGGACCCTCGATTTGGGGAGAGCGTTGCCAGGCAGGCACTGCTGACATCCCAAGTAACTGGCCCCTTCCTTCCTTCTACTCACCCTCCAGGCCAGCCCTGACATCTGCTCGGAAGAAACAAGTCTCCAAAAAGCAGACAACCTCCAAGATCCTTGTGCGAAACATCCCCTTCCAGGCTGACAGCCGGGAGATCCGAGAGCTCTTCAGGTGAGATGCTTGCGTTCAGCCCATAAGGCTGGTGCTGGGTGGAGAAGCCTGCCTGAGTCTCGGGGTCCTGGCTGGTTCCACTGCCAACCAGCACAGTGGTCTTTCAAAGGCATCTTTTGGTTGCCTTTGATTTATCTCCTTTAATCTCAGATGTGGCTCCCCAAAGCATTGTGCAGGAGGAGAAGGGAAGGCCAGCTTCTCCATCCCCATCCACAAGGTGCAGGAGGGGCAGGATCCCCAGTCTGCTTGGAATTGCCTCCATGCAGGGCATCCCCTTTGTTTTAAGGTGGTTCTCCACCTTAGCTTAGACTAGATTCCAGTCACCTGGCACCACCCTCAGACACTCTGATTCCTTTAGTCAGCAATGGGTCAGATATTAGTATTTTGCTAAAAGCATTGCAGGGGATCCTAATGTCCCACCAGGGTTGGGAACACTAGCTAAATTGCTCTCTGTGGAAAGCCTCTTTACCTGCACACAATGCAATGCTCAGCACCTGCTAGCACAGGGATCAACACCCATCCATCTCTCAGGGGCCAGGCTGGGTGAGTACAGAGGAGTTGGAGGGCCTCTCTGGTCACATAGCTATGAGGCCATGCAGACACATGGCCTTAATGAGACCACTTACCATGTTTTGAAAGAAAAACTAGCAATCTGCATTCTTAGGGGGAAATTCATCAGCATCTGATTCCCTTTTTAACAACAAACACTGCATGGGACAAAATTTGTCCTGCCCCAAGGTCACCAGCTTAGGATCCCTGTGATGGCATATTAGAGTATTTGATGTTTCAGATTAGTTAGGTATCACCCAGCATCAGGCCCTGAATTAAAGAAACATTCTATGACAGAAGGGATAGATGTGTGAAGCCCAGGCACTTGCCAGGCACATACAGAGAGACTACGTAGCCCTCAGAACGTAATGGCAGGTGAAACCAGCCTGGCCAAGCTGGTCTTTGAGGCCTGGCTAGGATCTGGTGCAGTGTTGACCTATAGCACTGTGGCCTGCATGCAGGTGAACATTTAGAATTCCACATAGCATGTCTCCTTCATTTAACCTGTTCATCAAGTTCCGACCTGAAGATCAGAGAGGGAAGTCCCTGTTAGAATTACCAGTTGGCATCTTTCGAGGTAAGCCTTGGAAGCAAAATGAGCCCACGTTTTAGAGACCAAAAAGAATTATCTTTGTGTAAAATCTACCCTGTTCGCTCTCACTCTGCAGTTTGAAGAATGGGAAGCCATTTGGGGAATTTATTTGCTTAAAAAATCCTTGTTCGTCTCCTCCCTTCTGTTTGTTCTAAAATCATACCACTGGTATTCTGTTCATTAATAGGCACAGTTAGCCAAGACCTGGTGTGGAGGCCACCCCTGCTGGTATCTAAGTAGCAGGGTCTTAGTTACAGTCCCCGGCACCCTGAGTAGAAGGAGCAGCATGGTGAGAAGGGGTCGCAGCCTGGGAGGATGTTTTCCATTTTCCAGAACCCAGGTAGATTAGTCAAGACAGGTGCGTGAGGTTGTCGTATACGGAGACCTGTATGTGTCTGCTTACTTTACCGTGCTTCCGCTCTTTAAAAAGAGTCCAATTTAAGAACTGCCAGATCAAAATAGGCTTGCTAAGAACAGCGCATGTTGATCAGGAAATAATATCCCGGCGAAATGACAGTTTCACTTGGTTCCGCGGTCTATTTAGGATGACACTTATCCGGGGAAACAAAAGACGGCAAGGGAAGGGAAAGCGCTTTGTTTGATCTCACGTATTATACTTATTTTTAGAAGACAGGGAATTAGTGTCCACTGAACATAATTACACGTGGTGTCTCTTCTCCCTGCCATTGTTCTGATGAGAGTTTTCACAAACCCCTGGAAATGTAAACCCTTCTTGGAGGGCTCTACCTCCCTTTTGTTAACTCCGTCTGGGGATTTGAGGCAATACTGAGCAGAGGACAGCAGGGGTCACTGTGAGCCTTCTCTGGGACCTGCAGCTTAGTTAGGGAGGCCCCAGGCAGGATTTCAGACAAAGCCACTGGGCACCAAAGGTCGTCAGCCGGGGGAAGTTTGTAGGGTTTAGGGGAACCAGTCTGGTGGTGGTGTTCCTTTTGCACCCAGACAGAAACTGGAGACTTGGGGAGATGAAGTTTACTGCCTGAGCTGGGTTTTGATTCTAAGTCCTTGTGACCCAGAACCCTGACTTAGAACCCTCTCTACCACCAGTCCTCCTGGCTCAAGAAGGAGCCATTGTCCCCTAGAACCTTTCAGTGGGAACTCTGCCCTGCAGCAAGTGTGTTGTTTGTACTAGGCACTGTGCTGGGCACTGGGCTTGCAGTTGTTTCAGGAGAGATCCAGGCCCTTCTCTTTGGAGAGAAGTGGTAGGAAACTGACAGTGGGCAGCTGTGGAGAGCGTGGACAGGAGATGGGGGAGAGCAGCAGTGCCTGGGACCTTACCCAGAGGCCACCAGCCTTTCACTTGGCCTCACCATACCACACTCTAGTGAGCCCCTTAACACATTGCTGGCTGGTCATGAGCTACCTGGTAACATGGAGAGTTTTTGCATAAAATTGCCGGTCAACAGTGTGTTAAGATATTAGAGGCACAAAGTGATTCTATATGACAGGCAGCTGAGAGATGAGGAGGAGAAAAAGAATAAAATAGGCTGGATTTGGGACAAATCGGAATTTGGACTCGGAGAAATGAATCAGGGAACAGCTGCTATGACATCCAGCTATGGTGCCCTGGCTGGGCTTGAACTCTTGGCCTGAAATGATCCTCCTGCCTCAGCCTTCCAATATGCTAGGATTGCAGGTGTGAGCTGTCTCACCTCACCTGAATTTTCACTTTCCATCTCACCCTGCAAGTTATGTAGCCAATTCTGCCTGCAAACCAACAGAAAGATTGGGAAGTTTGGAGGCAGAGTATAGTTTGCCCATTGGCCAGCCTCAGTTTCCTCATCTGCAGAATGGGAATGAAGTGTGTCTGCTTCTCCTGCCCCGCAGTCCAGGCAGTGAAAAGCTCAGGGACAGGATGGCTGGGCTGGCTGATGGGAGTTGCTCATGCTCACTGATCGTGTTCCTCACTGATGCCTCCTGTGGGTTATCACTGAGGAGCATGTGTCAGCCCTGTTACTCTGAGAGGGTGAGGACCATCCAGGTGGCTTTCAAGTCAGGGCCGGGAGTTATGGTGATGAGTCAGTTCTGGCAGTAGATCTTGCAGGTTCAGCATAGCGCCCTCTTTTCCTATGCACTGTCCCTTCGGCTCTCAGGGCCTTAACTTTCCTCATCTGTAACATAGGGATAAGAACTGGTTTTACTGCCAGGTGATTAAAGTATCACGTCATGTGAGATGCCTGGCACAGTGCCCAGCTCATGAGACACACCCTGCAGTGTGGCTGTTATTGCCGTATTTCCCTTAGGAGTCAGTCACTTTGGGAACACTGGTCTTAGGTTTAGGCAAACGGAGTCTGGTGGATCTGCAGGAGAGTGGAAGCCTTGATTGGCAGGGACTCAGTGTGTGCACCCACAGGGTGATTTGCAGTCCTCTCGTCACTTTCCACTCAGAAGACCCCACCATCATCCCCATAGCAGAAAAGCTGGAGTCCGCCAGGTCCACAGCCAAGGCTTTATTTCTCTTCCTTCCTCCTTCCCTCCCGCCCTTCCTTGCTTTTTAACAGTAGGTTTATTTTGCCTTCCCAGCCTTAAGAGTCAGATGGACGTCTGCGAGAGGGTGACCTTCTTAGTTGGGGTCTCAGGCGATTACCTCCTCCTTGAGTGTGTCTCCCTGAGGGGAAATTGCCTGCAAGGCCACGACCAGGATAGCATACGCCATGAGGCTGCTTCACTCTTCTTAGAAAGACTGGGTTATCGGCTCGGTGCTTGTGGCTAAAGCGGCTAAGGCGCCAGCCACA